TAATAATAATGAATAAAATTCTGTAAATAATGATATGAATAGTAAATAATATAATGACAATAAATAAATAATAATAATATAATAATAATGAATAAAATTCTGTAAATAATGATGTGAATAGTAAATAATATAATAACAATAAGCTACCTGTAGCTTGTGACGCAAAAAGCGTCTGATCAAACTACGTAAAAAATACGTCAAAAAATATCAAACTATTCTCTAAGCGTCTTTGCAGCTGTATTTGTTATAAATCCTGTTACAAATTCATTAAATCGGTCTGATTAGGACAATGTGCTCGATAAGAAATCCTGCATTGAACAAAGTAACTATTGGGTTGGCAACTAAGTAATTGCCGACTTCAATTACAGATGTCTCTCACTCCCATTTTTATGATATCCGTAAATGTTATAACATAAAATTATTATTATTATTATTATTATTATATTATTTTTTATTATCCGTGAATGTTAGCAACTGGACAAATTGAATGCAGCGGTCAAGGAAAAGCGACCAGAATTGGTCGATCGTAAAGGTGTCATTTTTCAGAAGGACAATGCTAGGCCGCGCAGTCTTTGTCCACTCTGCAAAAATTCATGGATATTGGTTGGAAATCGATGTTACACCCATCATATAGCCCTGATCTCGCGCCATCGGATTACCACTTATTTCGATCCCTGGACAACTCCCTTCGTGGTAAAACTTTTAACGATGATGACGCTGTAAAAGCTCACTTAACTCAGTTTTCGGCCGAAAAGGATCAGACTTTCTACGAGCGTGGAATTTTCAAGTTGTCAGAGAGATGGCAAAAGGTCATCGAACAAAATGGAAAATACATTACAGATTAAACTTCGTTCCAAGTAAAAAGAAATTTTTTATTTCATTGAACAAATCGGCAATGACTTAGTTGCCAACCCAATGAAAAGGTATGTAAAACGAGCAGACTTTCCGCATTGCTGGTTTAATATCCCTACGAGAGAACGATTCTTCCGTGAACGATGAAAGACAGTAAGAAAGCGATGACAGGTAAAAAAGAGCGTTTCATTATCGGAAGCACTCGTATACATAGTGTTTTAATAAAGCGAACTCGTAATTATTCGTCTCGCTACGATGATACCGTTCATTTTCATCTTTTGCGTTCGTTGACGACCACGTTCCGCTTCGCATCGAAACAGCACAGTTTCGAACATACTTGGAATTGATTACCAAGACCCGAAGCGCCCCTACGCCTTAGACATTAATATTAAATGGAGTTTAATTGAATTTGCGGCCAGATGGAGAACCTTGAATGCATTTGCACAATTACAATTTCGTAGCCCCGCGATGCGAGTGCTTCGGCTTTGGTCCCATTGCTTCGGCATTATTGCTTCAAAGTGTAATCAATTGAACGCCACCGCGGCAGCTGAAAATATTGCTCGTGATGTTCCGACTTTTTATACGTTATTATATTATTATATATATTATATTTTATACGTTATATTTATAATATATATTATTATTATATTATTATTAATTATTATATTGTGTTATATTATATTTATATTACATATACAATATATATTATTATTATATTATTAATTATTATATTATATTATATTGTATTATATATATTATGTTATATACATTATATTATATATATCATATAGATTATATTATATATTATTATTAATTATTATATTATATTGTATTATATATAATATATTATATATTATATTATATATTATATATATATAATATTATACACATTATAGTATATATATCATATAGATATTATATATATATAACATTATCAGAAATATTTTCCGAATAAATAAACACTCATCGCGTTAATTGATTATGAAATTCTCTTCGTACTTTTTTTAACACTCGTGTTTATACATACGCATAAAAACAATACAATATCGTCGAACGCGTTCACTAGCCATTTCGTC